TGTCACGTGGTTATTAAGACTGGGAGGGAGCAAAGGAGGGAGGAGCACCTTCCTGTTTCTCCCTTGATATGATCCAGCTTGACATGACCACAGCCATCTTGACCACTGCCAATTGCCAGCCAGGTGGCACTGGGACCCATCCCCAGCAAAGTCGTGAAGATAGTCAGCACACTGTGCTGGCTGCTGACACCCGGAGTGTTTCCTGACACCTGACCTGCTGTTAGTATTTGAGAAAAGCCAGGTACCTTCCAGTTGGCTGCAGCCCAGCTTTGTCTAGCTTAGCATACATACTCTTTCCTCCTGTTTTGGGGCACGGGGATCCTACTGGCTTGCTATCACCCAAAGCACACTTCTTTTTTTCTTCCGGTCCTGGAAAGTGAACCCAGAGCCTTTGCAAGGAGCAACCCTTTTATTTTTTGTTCTGAGACAAGATCTTAAGTCACTAAATTGCTCAAGCTGGGCTCGAACTTGCAATCCACCTGCCTCAGCCTTCCAGTGCAGGTGTGGCCCATCACACCTGGCTCCCAGGCCCTCTTCTGTCTGTCAATCCCTGATGAGTTGGGCTCTGTGGGGTCCTGGACCCAGCTGCCTGTCTTTTTTTTTTTTTTTTTTGGTACCGGGGATAGAACTCGGGTCCTTGCGCTTGCACAACAGGTGGCGAAACCATTGAGCTAAATCCCAGGCCCTCCAGTGTTTTTGTTTGGCTTGTTTGTTTTTTTGTTTTTGTTGTTTTTTTTGGTACCGGGGATAGAACTCGGGTCCTTGCGCTTGCACAACAGGTGGCGAAACCATTGAGCTAAATCCCAGGCCCTCCAGCTGCCTGTCTTTGATCTCTCAGCACCTTCCCCCTTCTGTGGCCAGTTCTCTCACACACTGGTTTTTCCAGGACATGGCCCTTGCCTATGGCACTATCAGATCATGTGTGACCAAATAGATCCACAGCGAGACGCAGAAGATCGGCTCAGTGAATTCCAACAGGCAACACCGTGAACACAGCTGTGGTTCTCAGAGAGGAACTGTGGGTGGTCTTAACCCCCAGGGAGACTGGGGAGCCACCAAGAGAAGGGTAGCGGATTTGCTGGGAGTAGAAGATCCCAGCCACCTCACCCCACCCCTTTCAGACAGCAGGAGCAAGGTGGGAAGGGGAGGGAAAGCAACTGTGTAGTCACCTGTGCGCAAGCCCCCTCCAACAGCCTCCCTGTTGGCATGGGGTCCCGGAGCCTCCCCCACACCTGGCTCTGTCATTGTAGGGGTCCCTCCCCCTCTGATCCACCCAACTGATTTGCCCCAATCTGCATTTTCTTTTTGGTATTTGAGGTCTTTTGCATGTGGGGTAGGGAAGGGTGCACCCCATGCTTTGTGGACCCCTTCCCTCCCCAGGAGAAAGAGGAAAGTGGTTATGGTTTTATCCTTTTGTGGGCTCTGCTGGATGAGGGCTTTGTAGGGTTACTTCCTGGGTTATCCCCGAAAAGAGCTGGGGGCCAAGTGCCCTGGGCATGGCAGTGTTCCCGCTCTGCTCCCTAGCTCTTTGGCCTTGGCCAGGCAGGGACTCTCTTTCGACCTCAGCTTCCCTGTTTGTATCCTGGGATAGGAAGACATAAGATAATGCAATGACAGTCCTGTGAACCCACAGGGAGGGCCTGCCAGTGGAAATGCCAAGTCCCCTGCGCCAATGAGGGGCCCAGCCTCAGGACCTGGCATGGAGGAGACAAGGCCCAGTGAGTGCTGAGTTGGATTGTGCATTTGGGGAGGGGGCTGAAGCCAGCCACATCTAGGTGACATGTTCCCCTCACCCCAGCAAAGGCTGTCGGGTTGTCTGTAACTGGGGCATCCGAAATACACTCTGGAAAGGTCACAGTAAAGACAGCAGTGTTGAGCCCCATGGTGCATGCCTTTGGTCCCAGCCACGAGGGCATGGGGGTGGGGAGCACTGAGGTAGGAGGATCCCAAGTTCAAGCTCAGCCTAGGCACCACAACGGGATCTTAACTCAAAAGCAAGCAAGCAAACAAGCCTCAACAAGGGCGCCTGTTCCTTGAGGCCACATTGCACCTTAGCACCTACGAAGCACCTTCCATGGCTGTTCACCGGGTTCGTTCTCCCTGCAACAGGCAGGGTGCTGGATCCTGATTAACTGGCTTGAGGCTTGCGTTGCTGTGTCCCACCAGCTCCGCATGACCTCCCAGAAGGTTTAAGTCTGTGTGAGGCTCAGATTCTCACTTCTCAAGCGTGGGTGGTGACCGGCTATTGTGAAGCCTGAACAAGGGAAGGTCACAGAGTGCCAGCGTGGAGCGATTGGTCGATGTGTTGTAACTTTTCTTTTTTCCCCCAGCAGTACAGGGGTATTGAGGACCGAGCTACATCTTCAGCCCTTTTTTAAAAAATCTTTAATTTTGAGACAGGATCTTGCTAAGTCACTAAATTGCCCAACCTGGGCTCAAACTTCAAATCCTCCTGCCTTAGCCTCCCCAAGTTCTGGGATCACACGTGTGTGCCACCACACCTGACTAATGGGTGATAGTTTAAGGAAGAAAAAAATAACCATGTGAGGCAGGCTAGGAATGCTGTCATAGCTTCAGTTTTAGAGTTGAAGTGGACTGGCCCAAGATCACCTGACGGATGAGGCAGGGAGATATGAATCTCTGGTGGTTCCAGGGCTGATAGCACAGGCTGTGCTATGCTGCACTATCAGCACAGGCCCTGGGGCCTACTGAGCTGCCCTCCTCTCAGGCTGCTCCACTCCTCCCCAGCCATGTGACATTATCCTCCTTGGCCTCATGACTTTGTGCAAATCACAGCCTTGGTTTCCCGTATCTATAAGATAGGGCTGTCTATTTCTCTTCAGTGACAGCCTTTGTATCTCCTGCTTTGAGGATTTTTTAGAGTTCGGGGTAAAAATAAAAGCTATTTGAAAACAGCCCTTCTTCCTGTCGGTGGTGAGAACCTTCTCTCTGAGGGGCTGAGCTGGTGCCCCAGGTGTGGAGGGAGGGCGGGAGGCGGGTGACTGGTGCCTGAAGCCAAGTAGAAGGAGCCCTTGTCCCTAGACTCAGAAGGGACAGAGGCCTTGGGCCCCTTGAGTGTTGGGGCCCTGGGCTCTGCTCCGTGGGGAGGAGGGGGACCTCGGGGATGTCACTGGTGGCACGCTCTGAAGGTCAAACACCGTGAAGGTCAATCACAAAGCTCATTGGTTTCAAGTCTTGGTGAAGAATCTGGACCTCCAGGTATGCAGGGGAGTGGGTACGGTGGTATCTGAGGGGATCAGCACTTTAGGATACTGCAGTCCCTTGTAGCAGGAGGCAGAGTATCAAAAAGGCCAGTAACCTCCTTCCCTCAGGCTCCATATGTGACTCCAAGGGTCAGTGCTTGAGCTCAAGAGAGGGGGAGGGAAGCTGTGACCACTGAGATTCAGTTTCCCACCAGCCCAGTGGGAGGAGGGCTGGATTCCATGGGAATGGATAAAAGGCTTCGTGGACATTGGCATGCAGTAGTCACAAGTTCAGGAGGAGGAGGAGGGAAGAGGAGGCTGGGCCGAGGGCCTCCGTTTGGCCCCATAATTGGCCAGAGGGCAAAGGGCGAAGGACACTGGTACAGACAGATGCCAGGGCCTGGCAGCTCTGGGGCCACCCTACTGAGCCACAGAGTGGTTACGGAGGGGACAGAGCCGCCTCCCTGAGTCCCTCACCACCCCTTCCTCTGCCTCAGTCCTGGCCTCCAGGCCCTCACAGTACCTCCATGCCACCCATTCTAGGGAGGAACAGCCAGTGCCTCCGTTTACCATAATCTCTAACCCACAGCAAGGGCAGATGGGGTGAAGGTCAGAATCTCCACCACAGACCTTCACTGAGCTGGCGCAAGGGCCCACCCTGCTAACATCGTCTAGCTGAGGCCCCGTGACAGGCCCAGGAGATGCTTGAGGCCCCCACTGCTCAGAGCAGTGTGAAGGGGAGTGACGTCCCGGGCCTTGACTCCAAGGCCCACCTGTCCACACCACTCATCCGTAATATCAGAGCCTGGCCTCCTGGGCCTGTGGGCCTCCCACTCCACCTGGCTGCTCCATCCAGGCAAGCTGTATCTCTCTGTGCCTTGGTTTCCCCATTTATAATACAAAGCATTGAGCCAGGCATGGTGGCACACACCTGTAATCCCAGCACTCAGGAGGCTGAGGCAGGAGGGTTGCCACAAGTCTGAGGCTACGTAGTGAGTTCATGGCCAACCTGAACTACATACTGAGACCCCGACTCAAAAAACAGAAATAAAAACACAAAACCAAACAAAACAAAGCACCAGACTCACTGGTGATCTCCAGGACCCGGGCCAGCTCCAGCTTTTGGAGTCTTTCCCCTGCTCACTCCGCTACTGAAGCCAGCACCTTGGGAGAAGGAGGGTTGGAGGTTAAAGACTGGGCGTGAAGCCAGAGTGCCTGGGCTCCACTAATGCCTGTGTGACTTCAGGAAAGTCACAGTCCCCTCTGTAAAGCAGGCAATAATAATAGACAGTTATGAGGGTTAAATTAAAATTAAACCACAATTGCTTCTCGGCCTTTTGGCCAAGATCAAGTGTAAAATTAAACCACAAAATGCCAGCAGAGCACACAGTGAAACTATGTGCACTTGTGGTTCTTATCAATGTGATGAGATGAGGTCCCAGTCCTGGCTCTCGGTCCTGTCTAAGGCGGCCCCACCAGCCCTGGAAGCCTAGGACCCTTGCTCCCAAACCTCGGGTGTCCTGATGTGACATCTGTCCCCTGCCCCATCAGACCCACTCAGTTTCTTTGTGTTTTTTGAGACAGGGTCTTGGCATATAGCCCAGGCTGGCCTTGACCTCAAGATCCTCCTACCTCAGCCTCCCAAGTGCCAGAATTACAGGTGTGGCTGGAATTACAGGTGTGGTTGTAGTTACTGGCTCCACCCAAAATTTAAATCCTTGGAGAGAAGGGATAAAGTAAGAACACACATTTTCTGGAATGAGGAAGAATTTGAAAATTTAAAAAAAAGCTACTCACGGTTGCCAGTGGCTGAACACTGGGGTCTGGTCTCAGCCGTGTTGAGTGCACCCCAAGACCTGGCCCTCAGTCCCGCTCAGAGGTCCTGTGGAGCAGCTGCCCCTGGCCAGGTTTCTCTTGGTTTTGTGCTTTCTCACAGATGAGTGAGTGTGAGGAGGCCTGGCCTTCCGTCCCTGTTACCACTTCCCCTCTGGGGCCCGGTGCCACACAGTTCTTGCCCTGCAGTTAAGTTCTTCCTTACCAGGAACTCCAGCCAGGGTGGTACACAGGGCCAGGCCCCGAGTCAAGGGACTTGGGTTCTAATCCAACCTAGATGTTATGATGTTGAGCAACTCGCTTCATTTCTCTAACGCCTTGCTTGTTCCTCTGCAACATGGGGATAAGGCACCAGTTTACATAGATCATGGGAAAGGACACTCCCTTCATTCTTGTCCCTCCTTTGCCAGAGCTTTGAAGTACTGGTGCCTACGGTGCCAAGCACACAACAGAACTGAGTTACAGTTGCTGGTGTGGGACAATCGGGGGCAGTTGGGGACTGTGGGGGATAGCGGAACACAGGGCCCAGCCAAAGGGGGTGAGGCGTGCTCAGCTTCGGCCAAGCCCTTCCCTTGCAAGTGCACACCCGACTGCCAGATGTCCCAAGGTTTTGGCAGATGCGCCATGTTTTCTAAGAGATACTGAACGTCCTGACTGTTATGTAATGGTTTCAATTTTAGAACGGAAGCCACATGTGATACTCCCAGTATCAAAAATCAAAAACAAAAGACGTGATGTCTATCAAACAAAACACCATTTCAGCTTATGTTTGTTAGAACTGTGTCCCTTAATACCCACTCTTGGTAATTACTCAGGCATTGTACCTCACGGGGGCCTAAGTATTTTCATACCTATTATCAGGTAAAATGTTGCCTGAGAATCTTCTATGTCCTAAGGACATAAAGATGAGCATGATAAGGTCTGGCTTTCCTACACCCTGGCCTATGGTCACCACCTCAGAATATTCCTACTAACCACTTTTGGCACCTAGGACCCTGAGGGATGGTTTTGGGCCAGTGCTTCTCCAGGAGCGAGATTTTGCCCCGTGGTAAAGTGGCCAGATTCAGCAAGTTAAATATCAGAGAGCCACATTTGACACGAACCTATAGTAAAAGTTATTTGGGGCTAGGGTGGAGCTTGGTCTACAGTGCTCAAACAGGCCTGAGCTCCATTGCCACACCACCAAAAAAGAAGTTACTGGTTATTTATCTGAAAGTGAAAGTTATCCAGGTGTCCTATATTTTATCTGGCGACCCACTCAGGGTCGGATATACCAGGATCCTTGTGTTGGCTGTCAGCCCTGGCGGGAATTTCTACTGACATCTAGTGGGCAGAGGCAGGGAGGCTGCTGTCTCCCACGCCGCCAATAAACTGAGGCGGCCAGCTGCCGCTCTAGACGATCCTGAGCCCCTTTGGTGCACAACCAGTCTGTGGAGGGTGGGGACGGAGGGGCTTAAATATGGTAATGAGACCCTTTGGGATGCGTCAGGTGACAGTGAGGGCCTCAGCCAAGAGCGAGGAATTGGCAGCGAGGAATGGGACAGAGTGGGGTGTGGACCATGGAGCGCGGGAGGCGGCCCCAGCCTCCTTCCCACTTCTGTGGGAGTCTTGGAAGCCGTGGAATTGGAGACACCAGAGCCAACCGGAGGAGGTGCAGCAGCCATTTCCACTAATCCTAGAGCCCTGGCCTTGAGGAAGCCCCACCATGGGGAGCAAGGGAGAGGCTGTCACCTTCCCCGGGCCTGCCTGTCCGCCGAGGCCCAAGCTGTGCGATGGTGAGCGAGCGAAGGAATGAAGAAAGGAAGCTACTACCAGGGAGAGGTCAAATTAGAGTTCCTCCGTGACAAGTCACTTGTTTGTCAGGTCTCGATTTCCTCATTCCTAGAATAGGGAAGTCAGAGAGAGGGAGCCTTTCTAGTCTGCCTCTGAGTCACCCTGAGAGCCTGTGGAAGTACAGATTCCCGGGCCCCACCACAGAGATTCTGATTCCGTAATTCTGGGCCGAGGCCCAAGAATCTGCATTCCTGGAGGCTCCCAGGGGGACCCAAAGCCGCCAGGCCCGAGACGCAGCTTGGCAGCACTGGACAAGACGGCTGATAAGGGCGCTCCAGGGTCTCCGAGGTCCCTGAGGGCCCTGCACGGGGTTCTCTCCCTGGCGCCTTGACAGTGAGGGTCCTAAATCGTCTCCGAAAGCAGCCTCGCCAGGCCTCGTGCGCCCTCTGCTGGACGCGTCTGTGCTGCGCTGGGCCCAGAGCGCAGTATTTAGGGTCTGAGGGAAGGAGGGCCGTTCCTGGGGTGCTCTGTGCCAGGGAAGCCAGGGACACAGCCCTGGTCACGTCTGGGCCATCTGAGCCTTTCAGAGGGCTCAGTTTCCAGTATGGATGTTGGTTTGTGTCTGCAAGCCTGAGGGATTACGACTTTTCACCGAACTGTTGCTATATTTTGCCTTCAAAAACCCAGTATAGAAGCCAGATGTGGTGGCACACGCCTGCAATCCCAGCTGCTCAGGAAACTGGGGCAGGATTGTGAGTTCTAGTCTGGCCTGGGCAATTTACCGAGACCCTATCTTAAAATTAAAAATAAAAAGGGTTATTTAATATTTTGTAATTATAAATTTGTAATATATGTATATATTTACCATGTACAACAGATTCTTGAAATGTATAAGTTGTGGAAAATCGAAATGAGCTATTAATATGTGCATTGCCTCATGTACTTATCATGTGGTTTTGGTGGTGAGAACTGTTTTTTCTGGTACCAGAGGCTGAGCCTAGGGCCTCTATATTGAGCTACATCCCCAGTCCAAGGAATAGGTTCAGTCCCCAGTGCTGAAAAGAAAAGCTATTCTCTGTGCTGTTCAAGAACACATGCATTAGGTGTCGCTGGCCATGGTGGCGCTTGCTACTAGTCCGAGTACTCAGGAAGCCGGAGGCTGGGCTACATAGCGAGAATCTGTCTCAAAAAAAAAAAAAAACCATTAAAAAAAGAATAACTTAGTTGTTAACTCTAGTCACCATGATGCACAACAGATCTCTGGCTCCTTTTAATTTGAATTTTGAGTCCTTTGACCAATATCTTTCCAATCTTCTCACCCCTCAGTTATTTTAACTCACTAAGCATAGATTTTGGTGGTAATATTTATGTGGAAAAGGATTTGTTATTTTAAGGAATATTTTACTGCAGGCTCTCTAGGTGGTTCCATAAGGCAGTTTTTTTGTTTTGTTTTGTTTTTTCCTTTTGGAGACAGGGTCTTGGTATGTAGTACAGGCTGGCCTCAGACTCATGGCGACCCTCCTGCCTCAGCTTCCAGAGTGCTGTGATTATAAGCATGTGCCACCATGCTGGCATTTGTGGGGTTTTACCCCCCTGGGTCAGGGTTTCTCCATGTTGCCCAGACTGGTCTCAAATTCCTGGGTTCACATGATCTCTCCACCTCAGTCTCTCAAGCAGCTGGGATAACAGTGCCAGGCTGGTCCAATTATCACTGGGCTCCACACTTTGGGGGAAGAAACCCTACACTAGCTCCTCTGTGTGCTGCTGGGGTTTGAGCATTCTCTAGACCTAGACTGGCCCTGTCACCAAATGGGGTCTGAGGATGTCCCTCAAAGAAGAGGAGGAAACCTCAACTCAGCCCGCCAAGTAGGTTCTCCACTCCTGTCACAGAAAAGAATTTCAGGACATGGCAGTGAGAGGCATAGGAAAGTGGGTTTGGGGTTTTTTTTTGGTACTGGGGATCGAACTCGGGTCCTTGCGGTTGTGCAGCAGGCAGCAAAACCACTGAGCTAAATCCCCGGCCCTAGAAAAGTTTTATTAAACTAGAATTAAAGTACACACTCAGAGAAAAGAGAGTGCAGAAAAGGGAAGGAGACAGAGTCAGACAGACAGACACATGGTCTGGACCTGGGAATACTTTTGATGGTCATGGAAGAAAAAAAGACACAAACTTCATGACTGTAAACACACCCAGGGAGAAAGATATGGGGTACAGATAAGGATGGTGATGGCTTTGGATAACTTGGGTGTCCCGAAGCTGCTGTTGTCTTAAACATACAATTTAAATATTGCGATTTTCCTTGTCTCCTTCCTACCTATGTTTCCTCTCTCCTATCCCGAAGCCCCACTGAAACCCTGGCGGGGAGAATCTGTGCACCTCCCGCTAGGCGCTGCCTTCCTTCTTTAGTTTGAAGTCTTGGGCACCATCACGGTTTTCAAGCTGGAATTTCACTGGAATCTCCAGGAGAGCTTCCTGCCTGCTGTCTGAGGCGGGCCTGACAGTCGCATTCCCAGTCAACTCCCTGTCCCTCTGTGAGAACTAAAAAGGTATCTGGGCTAAGATGACAGCCAATATTTTGGCCCTGGGCCTCCAAGGTCAACTACAACAATAACAACAACAAGATCCAGGACATGAGGGAACCTTCTCCAAGATCCTGCATTTTTGGTGAGTCACCCAACCTCCTGAGCAGGGAGGTTGCTGAACACCAAAACAATAAGATCCAACAAAAAGTGTGCCAAAGGAATGTCACCTGGAGGAAAAAATCTCCCACACTTTTGCAGAAACCAACTTGGTCAAGCAAGGCTGTGACATATCCTGATGACAGAGACTGACCCATATTTGTAACTCAGCAAAGACAGAAAATTACCCGCACCTGGACACACCACCAGTGTCCCTCGTCCGAGTCCAGAAATCGTCCTGGGAGATCCATGTGCTGTGATGGGTGTGACCTGCCCTGTGTGGTGGTGGTGGAGCTGGGGATCAGATAGGAGGAAAGGGGTTAAAGCAGCAGTCAGTTGCCGAGTCAGTCCCACCTGCAGGCCCTTACAGAGGGTGATAACAGTGAGCCACAGCCTGAAGGACCGGCTTGTGACATTAAAGGGTCCCTCTAAAATAGCAACAATTCTCATTGGAGACATTTTGAAAATTAGAAAAAACACGGGGGCCAGGGATTTAGCTCAGTGGTACCCTCGCCTGCCTTGCAAATGTATGGTCCTGAGTTCGATCCCCAGTATCAAAAAAAGAAAAAACACGAGAAAATAAAAGTGCCTTCTGATGCTAGTACCAGGCGACAGCCACAGCCGACTTTTAGACCTATGTTTCTCTTGGCATCCACGGGCCCAGGCCTCAGCTGCTGCAGACTCAGCTGGGCTGTGGGGATGGAGGAGCAAAGTCATCGGATGAGCTGAGTTAGTGCCTAGAGCGACAGAACGATCGGGAGCCAGTCTTTGGGCTTCTGGGGTCAGGCAGGGCATGGAGACGGCTCCAGGCCTCACTGCCCAGCCCTGCTCAGCACACACGATGGGTCTCTGCAAACCCACATGCCAGGGGCAGGGCAGGGGCAGATCTCAGTGGAACTCTGGTTTAGCTATTTATTTTCCTTAAATCTGTTTTCCTAGTCTTAATGCTACCTTGTAATTCAATGCAAAGACAAAAAG